TAACATATCTTTTGTTTCCAAGGGTGGGAGAGCTCTGAGGTGTGAATTGGTCATTACAATGTGTGACAAGCTTGGTAGGAACATCCTGTGTTCAGTGTTTTGTCCATCTGAGTACCTTGAAAACGCTTTGCATGCATTTTTCATGATGAAAAAAGGCTCTGGACAGCATTGGGAACTGGAAGTGTAAAAAAAAAAATTTCAAACACAAACGCCTATAAACGCAATTTGCCGCATTTATACGCGTTTTGCGTTTGAAACGCTATTAAAATCAACTGCTGAATGCAAGTTTCCTGAGTTAAAAAAAACGACTGTAAACTCAACTGCCTGTAAACGAAGATGTGTACATGGACACATAGGGAAACATTAGGGAGAGTTCAGGGGCTGCTGAAAAAAAACGCTGAACAGCTCCTAAAACGTGAGATTATCAGCTGCAGTGTACGAGCCCTAATTCTATCCAATTAGGCAGAACCTTGCACTACATAGTGCAAGGGTCTGCATAATTTAAAGGATATTGGGCAGAAATTTGTAGAGTGTATGGCCAGCCTTACTATGTAACTATGATCACAAATACAAGTTATGTTCACATGCGCATTTATACACAAGTGTTTACGCAGGAACTTTTATCCTAGGAAACAGGTGTGTAATAACGTCAGTAAATAAATGTGAATGAAGCCTCTGCACTTATTTATTTTTTTTTTTTTTTCAGGTACTTATATAGTGCTGTCAATTTACGCAGCACTTTACATATATATTGTACATTCACATCAGTCCCTAACCCTCAAGGGGTGTACAATCTAAGGCAGCAATGGGCAAACTACGGCCCGGCGGACCTTTTAATCCGGCCCCGGCCGCGGAGCGTGATACTGTCAGGATGGCTGTCAGGATGTGTGTAGGCAGGGCAGCGTGACGACGAACGTGAGGGGAGCTAGGCTCCTCTCACAGTCCGCCCTGAAGACCGGTGTAGCGTGAAAATCTGTCTCCTATGAGGATCTGTCCCCCTCGACGTATATCTGCGCATGTGCCGGAGATCGCCGATCAGCTGCTAATGCCTGAAACTGGCACATGCGCAGATACGTCGAGGGGGACAGATCCTCATAGGAGACAGATTTTCATGCTACACCGGAACGGCGCGGGAACACGGCGAGAGGAACGTGCGGAGCAAAGGTAAGTGAATTGACACAGGGGGGGACTTGGGAACTTAATATGGGGGATGAATTACTATAGGGGATGAATTACTATAGGGGGGATGAATTACTATAGGGGGGATTAATTACTATATGGGGGATTAATTACTATAGGGGGATGAATTACTATGGGGAATAAATTACTATATGGGGGATGAATTACTATATGGGGGATGAATTACTATATGGGGGATGAATTACTATGGGGGATGAATTAATATGGGGAATGAATTACTATAGGGGGGATGAATTACTATATGGGGGATGAATTACTATATGGGGGATGAATTACTATATGGGGGATGAATTACTATGGGGGATGAATTAATATGGGGAATGAATTACTATAGGGGGGATGAATTACTATATGGGGGAATGAATTACTATAGGGGGGATGAATTACTATATGGGGGATGAATTACTATGGGGGATGAATTAATATGGGGAATGAATTACTATGGGGGGAAGAATTACTATATGGGGGATGAATTACTATAGGGGGGATGAATTACTATATGGGGGATGAATTACTATGGGGGATGAATTACTATAGGGGGGGATGAATTACTATATGGGGGATGAATTAATTACTATAGGGGGGGTGAAATTACTATATGGGGGATGAATTACTATGGGGGATTAATTACTATATGGGGGATGAATTACTATGGGGGATGAATTACTATATGGGGGATGAATTACTATGGGGGATGAATTACTATATGGGGGATGAATTACTATGGGGGATGAAATTACTATAGGGGGGATGAATTACTATATGGGGGATGAATTACCATGGGGGATGAATTACTATATGGGGGGTGAATTACTATGGGGGATGAATTACTATGGGGGATGAATTACTATGGGGGATGAATTACTATATGGGGGATGAATTACTATATGGGGGATGAATTACTATGCTTACTATGGGGGAATATTACTATACTTACTATGGATGACACATACACATTATTCATCTACTCTTGGTCCGGCCCCCGGGTCCAATATATGAACCCATTGCGGCCCTCAAGTCAAAAAGTTTGCCCACCCCTGATCTAAGGTCTCTAACTCACATTCATACATACACATACTAGGGACAATTTAGACAGGAGCCAATTAACCTAGGGGAATAGGGGATCATGGGGCCCCTGTGTCCTTGCCCAAATTCAAAAAAAAATATGAAAAAGGTACCAGGGGCATCTCATGGGGCCCCCTACTGACCCCGGGCCCTCGGGCAGTGCCCGAGTTTCCAAATGGTCAGTCCGCCCCTGCCTCTGACTGCCCTTAGACTCAATTCAACCAACTAATTCTGCAACATTGCGCGCCATCCAATCCAGGGCACCGAAAACCGAGCACGGCGGCTAATTGATTACGTATACTTACTGCCAAACAATATTTACACGCTATATGAAATGTAATTGCGGGGGATGGCCCGTCACACTCCACCTGGAAGAATAAACACAATATACAAGCCTAAGAGGTGATTAAGTTAATTCCCAAGTAAGTCTGGATCTTCAGCAAGTTGGATTGCTAATTTTCTAATTAACTTTAATACGCACCTCGTTAAATGTGACCTTAAATGGCAAGTCGATCATTCCCAGGCATTTACCGAACTGATTTCTTGCAAGAATGAACAAGCAAAACAGTTTTCAGTATGTTACAGTGTACCTGTCATGTACAGTATATAGAAGGAAGAGAGCAATTTTGCTTGATTTAACCTCCTTGGCGGTATGATTCTTTCCGATTTTTTGTGATGAAAGCGATACCATTTTTTTGCATGGAAATATGTAGTTTTTTATTGTAGGCTGTAATTTTTAGGAATAACTCACTGAAATCTGTCTGAACAAGAGTCTAGTAAACATTCCAGATATGATAAAACTTGAAACACGAAATCATAAATTATAATTTAATAAATAATCATAAAAAAATAATAATATAATAATAATAAATTTATTTCAATAATATAATCAAACCAAAAACACTGAAATTTGAAATACAGAGGCAAATTCGCACATTGCTGAGCAAAGTCGCAAAATCATTTTCAGTGTCTGATGACGAATTTCCCCCACGAATCATTATCACTCAATTCTGCAAGTGGTTCTGATTTACTATCGTTGTTCTAAAACTGCTTTTGACGTAAAGGGACGCTTTTTGGATGCCATGGACTTTTCTACGTTTCCAGGCAGAAAGAACAGTCAAAATGCAGGCAGGGCGCCGGACAAAGCAGTAGGGACAAAATGTATGTGAAATGCATTGAAACAGCAATGACAGCAATAATGAAATTTTTAAAAAATTTCAAATTTCCCGCCGGTTCCGGCGCCCGTATGTCCCGACGTCACAGGGACCGGAACACGGAAGCCGAATGCCGGCATCGGCCGGAGGAGATGGCCGGGGACGCTGCAGGGGACACATCGCGGGAGCGAAGGACAAGGTAAGCGCTGCAGGGACCCCCCTGAGCAACGCTGCATGGTAAGCCCGAGTGTAGCTCGGGGCTACCGCTCTTGGTACTCAAATTTTACCTCGAGCTACACTCAGGAAAACTGCTAAGGAGGTTAAAGTGTTAACCCCTTCCCGCCGGCGCCTCCCGGCCCTTTAAGAGTTTCAGAAGCAGAGCGGACGGGGCGGGTTTAGGGATCATGTGACCGCTGTGATGCGTCGTCATGGCGGTCACATGATCGGGAAAGGTCCCGATCGAAAGACCAGCCGCGAGTACCGGACATGTGTGCTGGGAGAGCGCAGGGCGCGGGCTTTCAGCACATATGTTTTTTCTTACCTGAACGCAAATGTGCGGCCGCTCGGCGTCTAGGTCCAGGCGCCGGGAGGCCGCACATTCGTGTAAAGGGGTTAAACTCAACATTTTTCTGTGTGTATTATCTTTCAATTTAGGCCCCATGTACACTGCAGCTGATAAACGCACGTTCAGGAGCTTTTCAGCTTTTTTTTTTCAGCAGCCCCTGAACTCTCCCTAATGTTTCCCTATGTGTCCATGTACACATCGTTCATTTACAGGCAGTTGAGTTTACAGTTGTTTTCTTGAACGCAGAAAACTTGCATTCAGGAGTAGATTTTATCAGCGTTCCAAATGCTTGTAAACGCAGCTAACCGCATTTATAAGCGTTCGCGGTTGCAATTTTTTTTTTTAACTCTTCCATTTGCAGATGCTGTCCAGAGCCTTTTCTCATCATGAAAAATGCATGCAAAGCGTTTTCCCGGTACTCATATGGACCCGGTACACCATACTTTGAGGTTTCGCATGAAAGAAAATATGTGAGACACTGCTGCAATAATTTCTGCACAGAAATGAGCTGGAACACATCCAAACACCACAAAAAAAAAAAAAAAGACAGCTTATCTCAACACATGCTGCTCTCTCTGCTTCTGCTCGCACTATTTCTCTCAAAATGTATGAAATAATACATTTTTAACTATTTTTCAGTGCATTCTGGGCAATTTGGAAGGTCTCCTGAGGTTAAAAAACGCTCATAAACGCGGTATGCAAACGCAGACGTTTTTTAACCTACGTTTTCCAGCAGTCAGTTTCCATCGTTTAGAAGTGTCCCGTGTACATGAAGCCTTAAAGTGTCATTAAACTCAATATTTTGTGTATTATGTTTAAAAGTAGGCATTGGGCCTTTTAGTAGAAGGATGTTTTCTCCATTTGTAATTGTATGGTTGATCCTGACATTTCTCTTCACTTCCTAATTGTTAATGGCAACCTAGTAGCAGCTGATTCTCTGGATGAGCGTTGCCACCCTCAGGCTGACCATACATTATACAATTTTCTTGAGAATTTTGCTTTAGATTTACCAAAAACCAGCCGGTGATTATCCGCTGGCACCCGGCGATCACCGAGTATCACTGACAGGGGAGAGACCTGTGTAAAAACAGATTTCTCCCCTGTCAGCTCCTGCACACTGCTTTGTATGGCTTTGCATAGCAGAGCCATACAAAGCAGTGTGCTTACAGTGTAAAGCACACACAGCACAGAGTAAAAGCACACATCGGTAATCCTTTGATCGCCCCAGATGTTAACCCCTTCCTGCCCAGTGCCATTAGTACAGTGTCAGTGCTTTTTATTAGCACTGATCACTGTACTGGATTCACTGGAGATGTCAGTGACACCAAGTCAGTTCCCCCCAGAGTCAGAATGCCGTCCGCAGTCCCGCTATAAGTCGCTGATCGCCGCCATTACTAGTAAAAAAAAAAAAATCCCAGTATCTATACTGCCATTTGTAAACGCTATAACTTTCACGTAAACCAATTAATTTACACGTATTGGGATTTTTTTTTAGCAAAGACAGAATACATTTTTGTTTAAATTTATGATGAAATTTTTTTTTTTTTTACTGGACATGTTTAATAGCAAAACGTCAAAAATATAGTTTTGTTTTCAAAATTGTCAGTCTTTTTTTGTTTATAGCGAAAAAAAATGAAAACCGCACAGGTGATCAAATACCACCGAAAGAAAGCTCTGTGGGGGAAAAAAAGGCCTGGTCAGGAAGGTGGGTAAATCCTCTGGTCAGGAAGGGGGGTAAATCCTCTGGTCAGGAAGGGGGGTAAATCCTCTGGTCAGGAAGGTGGGTAAATCCTCTGGTCAGGAAGGGGGGTAAATCCTCTGGTCAGGAAGGGGGGTAAATCCTCTGGTCAGGAAGGTGGGTAAATCCTCTGGTCAGGAAGGGGGGTAAATCCTCTGGTCAGGAAGGTGGGTAAATCCTCTGGTCAGGAAGGTGGGTAAATCCTCTGGTCAGGAAGGGGGGTAACTCCTCTGGTCAGGAAGGGGGGTAAATCCTCTGGTCAGGAAGGTGGGTAAATCCTCTGGTCAGGAAGGGGGGTAAATCCTCTGGTCAGGAAGGGGGGTAACTCCTCTGGTCAGGAAGGGGGGTAACTCCTCTGGTCAGGAAGGTGGGTAACTCCTCTGGTCAGGAAGGTGGGTAAACTCCTCTGGTCAGGAAGGTGGGTAAATCCTCTGGTCAGGAAGGGGGGTAAATCCTCTGGTCAGGAAGGGGGGTAAATCCTCTGGTCAGGAAGGGGGGTAAATCCTCTGGTCAGGAAGGTGGGTAACTCCTCTGGTCAGGAAGGTGGGTAAATCCTCTGGTCAGGAAGGGGGGTAAATCCTCTGGTCAGGAAGGGGGGTAAATCCTCTGGTCAGGAAGGGGGGTAAATCCTCTGGTCAGGAAGGGGGGTAAATCCTCTGGTCAGGAAGGAGGGTAAATCCTCTGGTCAGGAAGGGGGGTAAATCCTCTGGTCAGGAAGGGGGGTAAATCCTCTGGTCAGGAAGGGGGGTAAATCCTCTGGTCAGGAAGGTGGGTAAATCCTCTGGTCAGGAAGGAGGGTAAATCCTCTGGTCAGGAAGGGGGGGTAAATCCTCTGGTCAGGAAGGAGGGTAAATCCTCTGGTCAGGAAGGAGGGTAAATCCTCTGGTCAGGAAGGGGGGTAAATCCTCTGGAGGGCAAATGGTTAAGTAACGCTATATTCTTTTTAAACGGTTTCCAGAGCATTACAAAAAACACAGCGCATTCAATACCAGAAAGATGTGGCTATTACTCAGACGCTCCAAAATTGGGCTTTGGTCCCGCTTTCTTTCTGGTCACATCTGTTCCAAGGGAAGGATGTGTGTACTGCATTTCCCAATATATTGGCTCATTTATCACATCTGAAGAAAGGCCGCGTTCAGCAAAAGCAATGTGGCACAAAACGTATTATCAAAGCCAAACTGTCTATAAGCCCCGGAGACGACATCCCCCCGGGACAATCACTTTGATCAGAACAGTCTATTAGAAGTAATACATTTATTGTCTTTTTTCTCCAGAATAAGGCCAGGTTCACATCTGTGCGGGTGATGCCGCTGCCGATCCGCATTTGAAGCTCAAGGACTCCGCAAAGCCAGAGCTGCCAATGCTGCAAACAGTGGTGCCCACATTTGTCTGCCTGACATGTGGCAGAACATTTCGTGCCCGTATAGGCCTTACCAGCCACCTTACCAGCCCGTATAGGCCTTACCGCCGGGACATACCGTGGACAGCCCACTACCTGTTAGATGTCAAGGTCCTCTTCGAACACGATGGACGAACATCATCATTTATTGTCTTTTTTTCTCCAGAATAAGGCTAAGTTCACATATGTGCGGGTGGTGCCGCTGTGGATCCGCACAAAAATCACCCGCACAGAGGAATGTGGAGCCATGGGCGGGTGCCGTTAATTCTAATAGCACGCCGCATGCACTAGAAATCGCAACTGTACTGGGAACCTCAGTTCCCGCGCGGACTACGATTTCCGAGGAAGTGCAGGGACTTCATCCCTGCGTGTCCCGGGGCACGGGAGTCCGTTCAAATGAAGGGGCTCTCGTGCCCGCACAAAAAGCGGACTGCGGATATGTGAACCAGGGGTAAAGGAAGACTCCTCAGGTATCATATTTTGTACTTGTCCACCAGGATGATCAGTAAGGACAGTGGTTCTCAACCTGTGGCTCGCGACCCCTTTGGGGGTCGAACGACCCTTTCACAGGGGTCCCCTAAGACCATCAGAAAACACATATTTCCGATGTGTAAAGAGCAGCTACTGTGTAGAAAGCAGCTGCTGTGTTGAAAGCAGCTACTCTGTTAAAAGCAGCTACTGTGTTGAAAGCAGCAGTATTGGAGGTAAAAGGACACTCATGAATTATGATTACTGGGTAAATAATTTTATGGTTGGGGGTCACCACAACATGAGGAACTGTATTAAAGGGTCGCGGCATTAGGAAGGTTAAAATAAAAGAACCACTGACTTAGGACAAAGAGGAAACCTGTCTTCTCTAAATAAAAGGTGGCAGCTACTTGAAAAATTCAGGTGAAATGCGGACCCAAGGCTGGGTACAATTAATTCTAAATCACTGAAAATCGCAACCCTTGCACGCTGCGATTTCCGAGGAAGTGCAGGGACTTCATGCCTGCGTGTCTCGGGGCACGGGAGTCCATTCAAATGAATGGGCTCTCGTGCCCGCGCAAAAAGTGGACCGCGGATATGTGAACCAGGGGTAAAAGAAGACTCCTCAGGTGTCATATTTTGCGCTTGTCCACCAGGATGATCACGTAGGACAAAGAGAAAACCGTCTTCTCTAAATAAAAGGTGGCAGCTAACTGAAAAATTCTGCAAGATGGTTTGTCCTCTAAAAGCCACTGATCAATAGTTCCGTTTAATGTTAAGTAATGTTGACAATATTTGCAAGTAATGCAACCAATGTGAATATAATTTGCAATACTTGCATAATCTAGAAGTCTAGAAAGGACCTTTAATGGATTTCTGTGACCTGAACATAATGCAAGTGCAACTGCAAAGCTGCAGAAGTATAGGATGCTCATATAAAAAAAACCTCTATAGTTGCGCACACAGCTGAAAAGCAATCCTCATCATCCCTTCTCAAACCACCAGGAGTCCATTCGCAAATAAATCAGAAAATTAATGCGGCCAAATGTTTTGTATTACAATTAGATTAGCCAATCCCTCTTTGCAGCATGGTAGGCCATGTGCTCTGAATTTTTATTGTATTGTGAAAGGCTTAATACAGAATTGTAAATGTGTCATTTTATCTGACACTGGGTGTAAATTTAATGCAAATACAGAAGATGTAGAGAAAGATCCATACACAAAGCTGACCTTACAGCACTCTCCTGGGTAGGTGCTAGGTTAGGTACATTTAGTTCTTAGCTCTCCAGTAATCAGTGAAGCTGCCAGTGATTACTTAGGTCTGCTGAGGGTGAGAGCAGGGTGGTCTGCTGAGGGTGAGAGCAGGGTGGTCTGCTCAGGGTGAGAGCAGGGTGGTGGTCTGCTCAGGGTGAGAGCAGGGTGGTATGCTCAGGGTGAGAGCAGGGTGGTCTGCTCAGGGTGAGAGCAGGGTGGTATGCTCAGGGTGACAGCAGGGTGGTCTGCTCAGGGTGAGAGGAGGGTGGTCTGCCCAGGGTAACAGCAGGCTGGTCTGCCCAGGGTGAGAGCAGGGTGGTCTGCCCAGGGTGAGAGGAGGGTGGTCTGCCCAGGGTGAGAGCAAGGTGGTCTGCTCAGGGTGAGAGCAGAGTGGTCTGCTCAGGGTGGCAGCAGGGTGCTCTGCTCAGGGTGAGAGCAGGGTGGTCTGCTTAGGGTGACAGCAGGGTGGACTTCCTAGGGTGAGAGCAGGGTGGACTTCTTAGGGTGAAAGCAGGGTGGTCTTCTCAGGGTGAGATCAGGGTGGTCTGCTCAGGGTGAGATCCATTGATCGACTTCAGTACAACCGGTCTGTCAGTTATTTTGCATGTGATTACTTTGGTCTGCTCAGGGTGACAGCAGGGTGGTCTGCTCAGGGTGACAGCAGGGTGGTCTGCTCAGGGTGAAATCCATCAATCGACTTCTGTACAACCAGTCTGTCAGTTATTTTGCATGTGATTACTGCTAGCGACTGGTGATCATTGTGTTTCTTCCGGCTAGGGTAAGCTCAATGGTGGCAAAACACAATTGCGCTGTGGGAGGGATTTCCCCCATCAATACTGACTGTGTTGATGGGGGAATCAAACCATTTTCTTTTCTGAAACCCCTGGTGGAAGGAAAGAAACCTGCTTAATGTATGGCCTGCCTATAATTTGATCATTTTTATAATCATTACTGGGTCAAATTCATGTTGGTCATTATGACGAAATGCGTTGGAGTGGAGCTACAGGAATTAACATCATCTTGCTATGTACACCCGGAAGTGACGGGAGAGAGAGCCAAGCTCACACAGCAGCTGGTATAGCTGGCCTCTAGCATATTGTGGGCATGTGGGCAGCACAGTGGCTAAATGGTTAGCACTGCTGCCTGGCAGTACTAGGGTCAATGGCTTGAATCCCAACCACAGCACCACCTGCCTGGAGTTTGCATGTTCTCCCTGTGCCTGCATGGGTTTCCTCCAAGTACTCTAGTTTCCTCCCACACTCTAAAGGCATGCTGGTAGGTTAATTGGATCCTGTCTAAATTGTCCCTAGTATGTGTATGTATGAATGTGAGTTAGGGACCTTAGATTGTACACCCCTTGAGGGTTAGGGACTGATGTGAATGTACAATATATATTTATTTCAGGTACTTATCTAGCGCCGTCAATTTACGCAGCACTTTACATATATATTGTACATTCACATCAGTCCCTAACCCTCAAGGGGGTGTACAATCTAAGGTCCCTAACTTACATTCATAAATGT